AAAAAAATAATTACAAAACTCGTCCGCCATATTGGATCCACCATTTTGAATTTCCTTATTTCGATGAAGAAATCATAATCTCCGACCTCGAAAACCCCCAGATACCAATTTTGGATGTGTGGAATCTGACCATAATTACAAAGCTCGTCCGCCATATTGGATCCGCCATCTTGAATTTCCAAAATTTGACGAAATATTCATAATCTCCGACCCCGAAAACCCCTGAGTACCAATTTTGAATGAAATCGGATAACTATACTCGGTCGCCATATTGGATCCGCCATTTTGTATTTTCTATTTAAAAAATAGATTACGACCGATTCTCATACCTACCGAATACGCACAAAAAATTTCATACGAATCGGTCGAGCCGTTTCGGAGGAGTTCGACCACTATGACCGTGACCGTGACAGGAGAATTTTATATATTAGATTTGTTCGTCTTACAAACACTCGGAGAACCTCCCCTTGAAATATGCCCAGATAATTGAATAATACCCTCTGTATTATCACGTCGCCTAGATTTCATAATATGTCCGAGTAATATGTATAACATTGGCAACGGTGTAAACGGGTTTGAATTCATCATCTCTCCTAAGCGCCATCTGCTTGCAATACAATGCACCATTCCTCTCTGCCGCAGTCTGTCATTTCGAACACTGCCATCTATCAGGTAGTGCCTGAACTACCACATCCTAGTTTCCTGCATTACATTCTTTCAAGAAATGGAGTTTACCGAGATCAGCTGGGATGAATGGATATTTTGTTGACAGAATAATCGTTTTTGTTGCTTCCTGTCCGAATGGAAACATTTCAAGAGCTGATATTCCAGTGACACCTTGCCGAATTTCCAACAATTGTACTGAGATCGAAAATATTTCAATTTGAGACAAAAAAATTTCAATGTTTACGTTTTTCAAAAATCTGTATCTTCTATAAATAAATGAGTTTCGACTCCGTATGATAACCAGGCCCTAGTCCCAACCTTCTTCTTTACGATGATTTAATCAGTTTTTCAATTGAATCATTCATAAGCCCATATAGCAACATCTAGTGAAGGCCTGCATGTCGATTTGGTTGAATCTCTCCTCTTAAATCTTTATTAACTCCACCCCTGCACAACACCGCACAATATCAATCGTCATTTTCATTTATGATAACCCGGCTTTACAATCGGCTTCCCGAAGAACTCAAAATCACTGAGGTGAGCAGTTTCAAACTGAAATTGAAGAAATCACTTTTGTCAGGCAATCTCCGCCTCTAACTAAGGTTCATACTTTATATCATTGGTACCGCTCATCACCACATACGTTCGTATGTTCGGATTTGCATCTCCTTATTCGTCATGATCATAATAATTTTTGACAGAAATGTGTAGCTTGCATGCTCACAACTGCATCCTAGTATTTAAGTTTAGTTTTAGGTTTTTTTACGGTTGAGTGGAAGAAAGCACTTTCTCGTTCCTCTCAGGAACGTTTAAGAGCTAACTCTGCCTCTTGATAGATATTCAATGTAATCTTTCTGTTTATCATTTTTTCTTGCTATGTCCTGTTATTTGCTATCTATCAATGAAAGCGTTTATTATTATTATTATTATTATTATATATACCAACGAAGTACTGCTTACCTACTTACCTAGGAATACGTCCCTATGATCTACCGTGAGTTTTTGGAATATCCTGTATACACATATGGAAGGAAAGTCTGCTTTCAGGAAAAAATGTCTGAATTCAAAGAAAGGAGTTTGGATTCAGAGAAAAAAATTTGAATTCAGAGAGAAAAGTCTGAATTCAGAGAGCAAAGTCTGAAATGATTGATTTTCTTCATTACTTACCCCAAGAAACATTATGATTTATAATAGGAATCTATATAAAAAAAGGTCTGAATTCAGAGAAAAAAGTCTGAATGAAGAAATAAAATACACACAACAGTTGCCTTCCAACGCTTTCGTATCATTGTAATAGCGAATCACTATCGGCCCCAATGATGCCTCCATAGTATTTTGTTTCAATTAATCACTTCGAGAAAAGGAAAAAAAATGTAGGTTAAGTATGGAATTCGAACCCGGTGCATTTGGTTTATCAAGCACGCACCTTATTAATCCATTGGCTATTATCTGACCTCTGCGAATTTATGTCCAAACAAATTTATAGAAGAATGACAAACTCTAGCACACGGATAATTTATCGCCTCCGTAAGAATTATAATTTCTTCAATAAAAAGTA